CAAACCAATTTCCCAGTCCCTTGACACTTCGTCAGATCAAGGTTCCACTGTACCTCATATTACTTGCTTCGAGGTTTAGTATTTCTAATCGAGTATTGTTTTTTTTTCCGCACCAGAGCAGACATGGTTGATGTTCTTAGCACCCACAACTGGCTGATAATGCGGCTTCTCCTTCCTTATTCATAACATTAAGTCACCCATTACACAAGAGATGAGGATCGACACGTGACAACTTTATTAAATCCATTTTGAAATCACTTGTGATCCTTGCAATCTGATTGGCTCGCTGGTGCGATGTATTCACAAATCACACCATGTTATGCTCTAAATCGCATCTTATTCCCAGATTATGAGACAATTTTACTTAAACACAATAACTAATCAAATTTCAAGGCTTGTTTAAAAAAATCAATCACATTGCAGAAAAACTAGAGAAAAACTTTGCAACTTTTTACAACCAGCTAAATGTACTTCGAATAATTGGATCAATGAAATAAGTCACAAAGAACATAGCACTTGGTTCATTTGTGTTCAAAACATTGATATTCAATCAAGAAATTTGCATAAATTGAAGTTTTCTATGAAATTGTTGACTTTCCTGTGCTTGATATATGCTCTAAATCTATAGTCTGCTCAAACGTTGCTCAGAGAGGCAAAAATTGCTGGAGGTTGCTAGAACCGCAAAATTTTACTCCAAACGTCAAAAGTTGGTCAAAAGTTGCCAAGCACAATCGGGACAGGTGTGCTATGATTGGTCGATTTAGCGGGCCGTATTTCACTGTGCCGTGCGCTAAATTAAAATTTTGTTTGATTTTAAATCTTCTCTCTCTATTTGAAACCTGGGATAAAATAAATATCGGCTTAGTAACCCTTTCTGTTTGTCATGGAACTTCGCTTCGCGCTTGGGCCATAAGTCCGTGCGAAAAAAGCTAGTTCCATAACTTACAGTTCAGACCGAGAAAACGAGGTTAGTAAGTGATATTAATCATACCGCCCTGGGCGCCAAATCCCGTAGTGAAAGCTGACGGCTTGATGTGAGCCTGGTTTTTAAAAACCGAAAAGAAAAGTGAAGGCAAATAGAAAAGTGCCACAAGGAAATTAAAGTTGTTTGGTAACTTGTTCATTTTTTGAATTGCTTTCAGAAGAAAGTTGACCAGGAAGCCGTTTTGTTGGGCTCGACTTCTTCCGCCTCCGGTAAGTTTTGACTTAACAATGTTTTTGCGCCAAGAGATTATGAATTGTTTATAGTCTCTTGGATTGTGCCGAATGAGCCTGGACTTCATTTACGCTTACTAAGTTAGCCTCGACTTAATGCGATGGCGTCAAGTAAGCCTCGACTTCGTGTGTTGCGGCGTAAAGGTAATGGACATAGACATGAAGAATGGTACGAAGAGACCCATTCTTTAGTTTTGAACGTTGTTAGTGTTTGAATCCCAAGAAGATTTCTTCGTGCGTGATAGATGGGATTGCATAACCGGTCTCCTCTCTGCTCCGCCAATAGTGACAATTAGATGACGCTGAAAAATTTTGCTCTTGTTGAAAGACGAGTGAAATTTTTTAGCTTCTCAATGTTAAAAATGCTGCTGAGGTGGAAGGCAGTTGACAAGATCATGATCGGATCGAGTTAAAGAGTTTTAAAAGTTTTGGTAACATGAGCGTTAAAAACTTTTTAAAAACTTTAATGGCTTTGTGACGTTAAGTCAGCGTCAAACTCTCCTTCCCGAGCGTTTATGGAACGGCCAAAGTACAATACAGAGTACGCTTTGTTATATATGCATAAAAGGCTTACTCAGAATTGCTTGGGTGTAACTGAAAATCAGCAGCTGAGGTTTTTTCGTGGAGTGATCAAAGACTTTCTTTTTAAAACTAAATGGGAAAAGATTTTTTCGCGAACTTTTGTCACAAGATACCGCGTTTCAGAAATTTAAAAGCTGTCAGCAAAGTGAGTTTTAGCTGTGAGTACGTTATCTTTGTTTATTTTTATTTTAGGATACTATGTTTATTTTCTGTTCGTGGATCGACTTAAGCCGCTTTGTTGCGTTTGTTTTCCTTTCCTTTTCTTTATTCGCAAAAAAATGTTAAGGAAAAAATTTACATTCTTTCCAGCCGTTTATTCAATGTCCATAGAAATAATCCGACGTTTTCTCTCTATCGGGGTTAAAATTCAAGCTGACGGTAATGTTGATTGCAAGCCTAACTGAGAAAAGCAGCTACACTTCTAATTATCAACCACGGTTCATTTAAGAACTCCACGCAAGCTCAATGAGAAAGTAGCTTTTTTCACTTTTTTGCTCATGAGATATTTTGCTTTCTTCGCTTGTAACCTCTGAACCCTTTTTTTACGTAACAAAAAGATCCAAAGCTCGCTGAAGCCGTCTGCCGAGTGACTTTTAGCGTCTTAAGAATAAGGGTCAACTTTTCATCTCGGTATTGGTTATAGGTGTTGTAACGAGGAAGTATCCTGAAATGTTTTAAAGAGGTATGTTGCGATATTTCTCTTTTCATCACTTTCAGTCCTCATAGAGGTCTTTTATCTGATCCAGAATTCTGATTTTTCGTTTCCCGGCTGGTTAAGGTTTCTGGAATCTGTGCTCTTACTGTTTATCACTCCGGCAACTACTGTTGTGCGACGCAACAGACGATGACAGTGGCCAGACTTAAAAAATTGTCAGCGGATCAAAAATTTGTCCATTAGTTCAGGAAACCTGCGCCGATTAATCTCGAAGAGTTTCAAATAGACAAAACAAAACGAAAGTTTTGCATTAAGTGGAAAACCCTAAATACGAAGCCCTTGTGACTATGGGAGGTTGGTTGGCAACGCACAATGACGATGATAATGATTTGATTAAGAATCGATAGAAGTGCCCAATATTTGTGCTAAGCATAAACTCTACGATTGGAGAGTTTTGACTTGAACTGTGATGGGTCCTCAGCAAATTTCTTAGTTTTTAAGGTGGTCTCAGCCGCTTACAACGCACAATGGGTGGTCGCAGATAGACTTCTGGCAACTGCAGTACTTAGTTTAACGCTGCCTGTGAACAAAAATGTTTCTAGGTCATGCAAAATTACTGTAAATCAATTTTGAGCAGCAAGCCCATTACTGAGCAAAGAGTTGAACAAAATTATTCACAGTGAAACTTGGCTTGATATCAAACGAAGTGCGTGGGACAGGCGGGCAAAATTTGTTAGTTCAGTTACAAACGGGGTTCAGACACTTTCCCATATACAACTGAGTGTTTAGAATATCACTTGGGTCGTACACAATATTTTTGTGGTGAAGCTTCGCTATACAAAGGTTTTTTCACATCCTGGTTTTTCAAATTGCATCTACAGACTCGATGTGCCATAGTGTCGCTGTCTATAGGTTAATTCTATGCCCTTTTTCTCTACCTTTGGGCTTACAATGCACGCAACGTTCTATTTGCTGTTTGTTGTGCCAGGGCTTTGATACATAAGGGATCGTTATGAAGGACACGTGTTGTATTGAAGCTTTTATATTCGGCCTCCACAGTTAATTTTGGAGGTAAGAATGATCTTTGCAGTAATGAACACTACTTTAGCAGTAGTGAAATTAAAGCCTCCCAAAAAAATGATAGGTTTGTAGAGGAGTTGAACCCATGACCTCTGCGATACCGATGCAGCGCTCTACCAACTGGGCTAATAAGCCATTAAGTTCTTTCGTAATAAACACGTAAGCGGCGAATGAACGACTGTGATATATGAATATCATTCATTCGAAATTAAATGCGGATAGATAAATGAAGATAAGAATGATCTTCGTCGTAACGAACACTGGTTAAGCTGTAGTGAAAATATTATTTTCTTCAGTGAGAACAAAGATCATAGCGCACCAACTTTTATTTCATGTTTTATCAGGCATAGTACCACTCGGACAATCCTCAATTCGATAGAAATTTGCTGCATATCTCCACTGAAAATTCGCATTTCAACAGTATTGAATAAGAGAAAGACTGACATCCGAAACTGTTAAACATGTATACTGCAAATTTGACGGAAAATATAGTTTTTAAATACAATTTACTGAAGTTTTTATTAACAGTTCTTCGTCGACCATCAGATTTAAAGTGCAGCTGTTGCATTACTCATATAAATACACACTTGATTACATACTCTGTTATCCAATCTACGTCGGAAAATGTGAATTGAGACACATGTATAGACATGCTACATGTATTTATTTTTCCTGGTTTCTCTCAACTTATGTGGCTATCCTAATGTAGAGATTTTGTACACTAGAAGAAAATCAAATACGTTCCCTATTCACGCTGCGCAAATGGAATTTAAGTTTGTTTGAAGCACTTGAACTTGCATGTTTGCTGCGAGCTTCACAGTTTTTTATAAAAAAAAAACAAAAAACAAAGGAAAGAAAAATTCCGACACACAACTCGCTGGTCCTAATCATATTATGCCATTCATGCAACTCTCATCAAAAACTCATCAACAATAATTACCAGTCTTGCGAATTCTCTAGATGGATTCTCTGGATGGATTTCGATCCACCTCCGACGCTGAAATTACGTTTGCACCCTTTTTGCGTGACAACAGTTTTATTCGCGAGACCAAGAATAAGGTGCAAGTTGAAATTCAGTCAGTCCTATTAACACATTATTTTAGCAGTGGTGCCTGCTTTGGTTTCCAAATGACTTTCAGAGGCAGGGTCTCTCTTAGTTAGTATTACTACCATAATAAAGAATTGCGTGCTGGAATACAAATTTAAAATCAATTAAAAGAGTAGAGAGTATAATTTCAGCTAAGCGCTTTAGAGAGATGAATGTTTAAAACTTAAGCGAACACATGGCGTGGGGTACGATCCAACAGAACATTTGTTTAGTCACCGAATGATTTATAGCATTGGTATACAAAGGAACTTGTGCTTTGCTTGCAGTTATAAATTCTATTTCAATCCCGTTAAAATAATTTGAAACCTCTGTGTTTTCAATCAAAACGGAATGACGTAGTTATTTCAAGTGTCTTGTGCAAACGCACCAACTTGTTTGAGGAGCGATCCGTTTAACATAATGCGTAAAGTAGTTTAATTCGCAAGATCTCAGGATAAGTTCCTTTTCTCTTGCAGTAACTACTTTGTTCGAAACATCATCTTGGCTTCACGTGCTTGCTCTTGAAGACTAGGTCAAAAGTTACGTTTGCTGAATTTGATCAAAGCCGATCTTTCAGAGGTAATTTAGACTACCACAATAGACCGCGGAGTACCCAAAATTAATTATTTCTCGTAATTCTCAGGTCTTTTCTCTTTCCTGTAAGTAATGTTAGAGTTAAGATTTATGACGTTAAAATTAAGAACTGTAATTTTAGAATTAAGATCTGATCTGAAGGGTCTGGAGAGCCCTTTGTGCGTCAGTAATCAATTTTCCTTGTAGTTAAAGAGAACAACATTTTTAGCCAAGCTAGTCCCATCGATCAATATATGAGGACATCGCTGAACAGTAAATTGGAAGACCACTCCATGATCTAGTGTTAGATGCAATCGATGCTTCATCATTTGAATAACCGGCTGGTCCGGCTCCAGTTGCATGCAGTGCAGTTGATTTCAGACAGCCCTCAAGGCTTAAATGGGTTTACATCACTGGACACTTCACTTCACTAATCTCGAGAGAAGAGACTCTCTCGTGATGGCACGTATACCTTGAACTCAACCCAAAAGCTACAAGTTTATTTAGTTTACGTGACAAAAGAACGAGGTATCTTGCGTGAAGAGCATCTCATCTTAAGTGTTCATAAGCTTATCTTTCAAATGTCTGCATTAAAGATAGCAAGGAAGCACATTACTATTTGCACGACACCGTGAATTTTTACGTACGTATGCACTTGAGAAGGTTCGGAGAGCGGACTTTGATTACTCATTGTTACTTTATATGAGAAGAGGTATGTGCAAAATGACTCAATCAAAACTGAACCTGACTAACCAACTCGGTTTCAAAGTTTAAGACTGTTTTAAAAGACGGCAAGCTACTTCGTTTTTCGTCATCTACGATCACGTATTTGCTTTTCAACCCAGTCTTGAGGTCTTTGTATTCAACTTGCAGTATTGTCTATAAGTTGCATACGTCTAACTGAGTATTGTCTGAATTATGATATAGTTATACAGAAATCCTTGCAGTTTTGGATTCACAACCGAGCAATAGACTTGCAAATTACTCATTTTAAAACGTACGTGCCATTTATAAATTTTGATACTACACTATAGACAGTAAAATTCCGAGCCCATGACTCTGCTAAAATCTTGTTTACAGTAACTTGGCATGTCAAGTGACATGTGTCCTGACTCATACTCACTTACCATGGCAATTGTTGCAAAAGTTTGACAGTCTAGAGAGATGGAATGTTTTTTTTTTAACTTCGATAGATATCATAGCGGTGTCGGTATTGAATAATTAAAGAAAAGTAAAAAAAAAATGATTTCAATATCAATATTCGTTACCCACAGCACGAAGGGCTGTCAAAGCATGAATGCTTTGAGCTAGCAAGGCTTCGAAGTTTGCTTTGGATCGTCAATGGTCAAGATAAATTCTCACACTATCTATTTTCTTCTTTACAGACTCTAATTCCGAAAGTGATGTCGTCTGTTGCAGTAGCCGCAGTATTTACATTCTGTTTCCTGTGTTTCAGACTCACTGTCAGCCGTAAGTTTCTCGAGTTGAACAAAACTATATGATTTAATGTACTTGGCTTTCTCTGATAAATTCGACGAGGTATTTTAAAACGATTTCAGTCTATCTAGTCAGCATTTAAAGAGACTTGTCCGAAAATAATAAAAAAAAACAACCAGATGATATCCATAAAATCTTCTTTCTGGGGAAAAGGGTTTGAAGTAGGGGAGGGGAGGGGAGGGATAAAGAAAAAGAGGACCTTGTTCCCTTCCCCATCCCCATCGTTTTACGTGCGCCTTTCTCCCCCTTCTCATAAGTTTCAATAAGGTCTCCGTAAAGGCAAAGTCATTTGTGAGAAAAGAAAATTTACATAGCTTAAAACGTTCGCAGTTTACTATCTTGTAACTGCTGCTTTGTCCGTGCTAGAAATTAAAAAGACACCTCTCTCTTTTAGAAACAAAATTTACAAAGGAGCCTCCTAGTACCGTGTCTGCAGGTTTGGGATCCAGTGCCATATTTTCGTGGGATTTCAGTTTTGGAAACTCGGGTGACTGGAATAATTTCGAAAGAATCGTATGGGGGGAAACGGATAAAAACGACCGGATCCTGGATAATTACATCACCATTTGGAAAAGCGGATCAGTTAAGAAAAACCCAAAACTCGACAACTCATTCAAATCTAGATTGAGCTGGGCCGGAAATATCAGTCAACATGGCGGTCTGTTTGATTTCATCTTCAAGAATGTCACAAAATCAGATGAAACTCGCACTTACGGTTGTACAGCGTATGTGTTTGGGATTGGTTACAGGAGTGGTCCAATAAAACTGGCCGTTCTCAGTGAGTATGAGCATTCTCAATTATTTTTCGGTGTTAAATTTCAACCAGATAACTTGGTTTTATCATTCACTCTGACGAATGGCTAACACTCAAAACGTCAGTTTTAGAAATTGTTTTCGGTGGCTGATACGCTTTATGGACTCAGTCTATAAATAGAGAATATTACATGGGTGCGCGTAGATATGGAATTTCTCTTCGAGATATTTTCCAATGGTCGATTTTTGTTTTCAGCCGCGAGAAACTAAACGACATTACTAAAGCCACTGAGTTCGTAACTCTCGGTTTTTCCTTTCATATTTTGGTTTTCTTCCATTTCTAGGAAACTTTGAACGTCACTGTCTGTAAGCGATACGAATTTTTCAGTGTTTTAGCAGCCATAATCGTGGCGCGAAAGGCGAGTGATGTGTCTCAGCTGATTGGCCGCGGCTTCAAACACACGTGAAAAATTATCGTATTTTTTTCACGTGTGTTGTTACGGCTTTTATCAAGGCTGGACTTCCTTTATATCATAGCAGTTTATATGATAAACCCAAATCATCATTGTAATACACAATTTCTTTAGAAACCTAGCCCTTTTATTCTAACTCGATATTTCGTACTCTTTTCTCGTGAGTGGAGCGGAGTTGAAGTAAAATATTGCGTGACGTTCTAAAGTAAATGATAAGACCGACCATATTTTGCTATTCCCTCGTTTAAATTTGTTTCAGTTCCACCGACCATAACCCATCAATCCAATAAGACTATTGATGTTGAAGAAGGAGTTAACGTCACACTACATTGTGACGCAATAGGTGACCCTACCCCAAGTGTCCTATGGGTTAAGGATGGTAAAACGCTACAAAATGGTACCTCAACGCCTACGCTTCAAATTCTAAGAATAGAATTGCGAGATGCTGGAACTTATGTCTGCACAGCCGCAAACCAAGCTGGCTCCACGAGTTACAGCGTTCAAGTGAGGGTCGTACGATGTAAGTTAACTGAAATTAACTCCTTTTCTCAGAAGTACATTCAATACTCATATCAGTTTGTTCAAATCCTTCACAGAGTAAGGGTTTAAGTATGTACCCGTGAGTCATAGAAACAGGAAAGGGGATTAAAGCAGGCATATCATGTGCTTTGCGCTTTTGCTAACTTTAAAAGATTGAAAAAGACGTGGTAGAGCAATTTCATGTAAATTAAGAGAATTACATTTTCACGAGAAACTTCACGGCACGTAGACCCCCATCGAAACTTTCATTACTTGCTGTTACATTTGATGCATGCAGCTGAAAATTTTCCCGATGTTTCTGATGATACCATGAGCTCTAACTACATTTTAATAATCGCAAAGCCGATAAACTTCTTCACATTGGACTCTTGGGAGTCTGGTTTCCAGAGTTACCTGGGACCTCCTCCTCACCCTCGTAAGAAGTAGAAAAGTGGCGGTCAATAATAACAATGCATTGTGGGATACTTCAAAACCATCATAGGGAGCCGAGATAGGATATCTCTATCAACAAAATCGGTCTATCCCCCACCCCGTCCAAGCATTGTACCATTTTTTGTTTCTGAAACAAATTCTTATTTCAGATAAACCTTACATTAACAAGACAGCAACTACAGATCCTCTTATAAAATCCTGGATTAACCACACGACAACCTTAAAGTGTGCAGTAGATGCTAATCCGTCTGCAAATTTTACCTGGTTAAAACATGGTCAACCAATCTTAGCTGGGGTTAACTTCATGCATGACATGAGTACACTAAGGCTGATTCCAAAGACTATGGGCGACTTTGGTTTGTACTCGTGTAAAGCTGAAAACGAGAAAGGGTCAATGGTATATAATATTACAGTGGAGCGCCTCTGTAAGTGTTAACACTATTATTTACTTTTAGCTTTTTCTATTTCTGTCACTGCTGAAAGTCTCCAAAATACATTTTATATTAATTGTAAGTTTACCGGCGCTACGTTTTGGAATTTACCTAATCCACTTCCTGTAAGTTTCTAATGAAATTTCATCGTTTTTCGATGTTTCTTCGTATTGCCAACACTGCTGCAATACAGGACTAAGAGAGCAAATCGTTCAAACATCCTGAAGGATTCCTTAGCATTCCAAAGAGTTTGAGGCTCTTATTTCTGATGGTTTGGCCTCATGATAAGGCCTTAAAAGAAAGAATTAGAGCAGGGTTTATCTCTTGCCAGTTTTGTTGGACTTCCATGATCCTCAAGAGTGCTTTTCGACTGAATATCATAAACCAAAATGATCATTACAGCTAATTCTGACATGAAAGTGTCAGTAAGAAGTAGCTAATGCTGACCATGAAAGCGTCAATAAGAATCTAACGTAGGTGTGTGTTACTGGCTTTGAGCTTGGTCGCTGATCTGAATGGCTGAGAGGGGGAGGGCGTTTACGACCCCAGTCAGAAAACGCGGTGCAATAAAACCAGAAACGACCCTTCAAAATCAGTGATTTCTTTCGGAAGGTATTTGAAAATTGCTCTGCTTCACCTAAGGTACATGATTGTTAACTTTTATCTGTCATGAAATCAATTTTACTATTAAATATTTTTTTAGACTCACCGGGGCCGCCCGTAATAAACAAATTTACCTCAGACGTGCTGTCCGTCAATGTGTCATGGGATGCACCACAAGACGACACTGATGGTGGTATATTTGATTACAAAATTACAATACTTGAGGAAAACTACCTAATGACACAGCAGCATCATGGAATTAAACAAACGTTCTTCAGCTTTCAAAATCTGAAACAAAACAGATCTTATATCGTTTTCTTACAAGCAAGAAATATTGTAGGTTATGGAGAGTCCGCAAATGGCACTGTTAGAACGCTTGAGGCAGGTAAGGAATACGAATTTTGTCAATTAAACAGCTTGTCATCGCCTGTGACATAAACAGCTAGTACGTCAGTTAGTCAATCGGCCAGAGAGCCAGCCAGCCAGCTTTCCAGTAAGTCAGCCAGTAATTGTGAGTCAGTCATACAGTCAGTCAGTTAGTCAGCCAGTCAGTCAGTAGGTCAAAATAATTTTGGTTTTATCAACTGAGTTGGTAATGTAAATTGGCCACCGTAAAGAGTTTCAAAGCTGAAGTTTCATGCGTTAGCCCTTCGTCAGAGCGATAGACGCAGCAGAACAATTTCTGCAGAAACTTACCCCCTCTATTCACTAGTCAGTCAGCCAGTCAGCCAATTAGTCGGTCAGTCAGTCGGTCTGTCAGTCATTCAATAAGTCAGTCAGTCAGTCAGTCAGTCAGTTGGTCTGTCATTCAGTCAGTTAATCGTTTAGTTTAACGTAAACATTACTTAAGTCAGTCTTTCGTGGTAAGACAGAGAGTTTAAATAGACAGACAGAAGAAAGCCAGAGAGATGTCATGATGTAGTAGGTTCTGAAGGTCAAACTGGTGATCATTCAATATAGTTATTCCGTTATTCAGCTATCCAGTCGGTTAAATTATCGCTCAGTCGGTCATGGCAAACGATCGCTCGGTCGACTACTGAGTCTGCCATTCGATCGGTCGGTCAGCCGATGAGATAATCTGTTTCAGAGCATACAGTATAAACATCCAGGCAGTTAGAAGAGTCTGCTCGGTTCCAGCTGTGTCGCATTCAACTGGAAAGTCAATTGAACAAGTCAGTAGTGTTGGATCGATCACTGAGCTTGTTGAACAACCTTAACACCTATCTCAACTGCTGATAACAAACCGATATTTCTTTTGCAGACCCACCAAACCCACCCGATATAAAAGCGATATCCAAAGTTCTTGCGTTAAACATAACTTGGCACTCATCAATTGAGGACAGCAAAATTGAAATACTGGATTACAGAATAAAGGTTATAGATAGTATCACACACAGACAAGAAAATGAATATACCGGAATAAGAAATACATCACTACTTATTGAAAACTTAAGAAGAAACAAGACGTACATTGTATTCATCCAGGCAAGAAACGAAGCTGGCTACGGACAGTTTGCAAACACCAGCGCAACAACTCTTCTACCAGGTGCAATAAATTGTCATACAAAAGTAACGGATAAAAATTATATTTTTGGTAAAAAATCGGCGGGGGAGTGGCTCGTCGACAAAGCCAATAAACGATAAAAATCAATAACAGCCCCGTAAATCGTGTTTAACTGGATCAGTTGCTTTATTCATCCGTTTTTGCCTGAAATACACTGACTCTTAGAATAGTCATAGCAATTTGGGAAAGAAAACAAAATGGGTTGTTACCGTCCTAGAGCAGCTGCATTCTACATGTTGATAATTATGTGGAGCCAAGTTTGTTTCCATTTGAGTAAATCAACCAAAAACGGCCCAGATAGTTAGACCTTGAATGAAGGATCCCAGAAGATCACGAGTCTAATTTTCATCCAGAGTGCTTAGCATTTGACGATCCTCTAATCATCCGACTTAGAAAACGCAAGCTATGTTCTATACCTTTTTATCATAATACTTCATAGGTCGAGTTCCTTCGTTAAGATTGGTTTTCTCTCTATTTGTCCTCGATATGCCAGGGCCACCAGACGCACCTTTTATATCAAACATCAGTGTTGTTGGAAAACGCTGTTCACTGCATTGGAGGACACCATACAATGGTGAAAGCCCGATAAAGATTTATATCGTGCATCTCTGGGTACTAATAACCGCGGCAAATGGCTCATCGCACAAGGAACATTTGAGTTCCTGGAATACTACAGAAATGAGTTACGCTTTGGATCTAGATTGGGACCGAAACTACTCGGCGGCCATATCAGCTTGGAACAAGTATGGCGAGAGTTTAGGGTTGTCTTTGATGGAGAGACAATTTAGCACTGCGAAAGAACCTGAAGGTAACTGATACGTGTTGATAAAGGCATGTATAACGTTATTGATTAATTTATTTTCAAGTAAGGTGGCTTAAGGTAATGTCGCATAGCAAAGACCTACGTGATGTCTTCAACCTCAGAGAGCTGCGCTAGTCAAGAAACCATCTAAAGCTCAAAAATTGTGCTCATGTAGATCAAATCTTACTTTTTCAGAAGAGAGCACGACAACAGAGTCCAGCGCTACCGTCACTTTACCGCACACTACGTATTCCCCTTCAGAAGGTAGGGACTCGAATACTGCCAATCTTGCCTTTTAAGTCATGAAGCCGTGTGAAATAAAAACGTGGCAAAGAATACAGAGCACCAAGTCACTTTCTTAACTTAAAAGAAAAATGGCCACCCGTCCGAAAACCTGAAGAATTGCTTGAGTGAAGGGGGAGCCTTTTGATGCCTGATGCCCTTGCTTTTTCATCCACATGGAGAGGCAATATTTCTCATCGCTCATTGATGTAGAAAACTGTAGATTAACAAGCTCATGTACTATAGTCCAACAAGTCGAGTGCAGACCTCGTTAACTGATAGAAAAATTTTTTTTAAATCAAATCTTAATCTTTTCTTAAATCAAATCTCACTTTTCCAGAAGAAAGTACGACGGCAGAGTCCAGTACTGCAGTCACTTTACGACACACTACGTACTTCCAATCAGAAGGTAGGGACTCAAATACTGCTGATCTTGCCTTTTAAGTCATGAAGCCTTCTAGGCCGAGTGAAACAAAAACGTGGCAAAGAAGACAGAGCACCAAGTCACTTTATTAACTCAAGAGAAAAATGGCCACCCGGCTGGAAACCTGAAGAATTGCTAGAGTGAATGGGGGGAGGGGGTGAAGAGAGAGGGGGCCCTTGCTTTTCATCCACATGGAGAGCCAATATTTCTCGTCGCCTATTGATGTAGAAAACTGTAGATTAAGTTCGTGTACTACGGTCCAATTAGTCGAGTGCAGACCTCGTTAACTGATAAAAAATTTTCTTTTAGTGACAGTTGTCACTAAATAATCATCAAAAATAATAATCATCAACATAATAATCATCAACAATAATAATCATCAACAATAATCCTATTTCCGCGAACCAGCCACCATTCCCATCCCAGTCCCCAATAAAAATGTTGAGTAAACCCTTTAACTCCCATGAGTGACCAAGACACAATTTCTCCTTACAATATCAATACGATATCAACCAGATAAATGATGAGTATAAAGAAAAATAACATTCAGTAATCAGAGCTATCCATACCCGTTCTAAGACACAATCATCTGTAACTTTCTTATAGGATTATCAAGCAGCACTGTAGTATCTCTGACGGAGTTACCTGTAATAACACAAGGTATATATTTCACCCTTTTAATGTCCATAAGGTCTAGAAATTTTTCGAGAACCGTTGTTTATCATGATACAGAAATTAAAAAAAAAATGAAATAGATTTATGTCTATAAGTGTGTTATCAGTTTTCGTAACGGTGCACAGAGAGGTCAATTGAGTGCACGTTCTCTGTTCCTATCAAGCGATTTGAACATCTATCGTTTTCTTTTTAGACGAATCTTACATTATAATTCCGACTTGGATCACTTCTTTTCCTCAGACTATTTCCCTTACAGATGACGACAGTTGCTCTAATTATTATCTAGTGTTTATCTCTGTTTGAAATGAATTTGAGATGTTTTAAATGAAGACTCGTTTTTTCTTTAATTACTGTCTACTAACGCATTTTTTCTACCTTTCTCATTAAGAATTAAAAGGATCTAGCGCCGAGAGAAAAAGCGAAAAGGATACGTTTACTTACCTTCTTCCACTGTGGATTATCTTACTGGCATTCGCAGTGCCTATAATTTTTTTCCTGTCCTGGAAAGCATCTAAAAAGAGTAAGTGGATCTTTTAGGTGTCGATTTTAGTATATACCACATGACAGGTGAATAGTGTTCTTTCGCGCGCAGTGATTGGCTGGTTCGGATGGGAGCAGTAAGTACTATTCTATTCCGAGCAGCCGAAGGGACAAAATCGCCTGCCAACAATTTAATTTCCGACCATTTTTGGTATATCGACATAGACAAACAAATTTTTTTGGTTTCTATGCGGCATATACTAAAACCATTATTTGCTACGATGTCGGTGAAAACAGTAGATATTTACTTCCAATTCGGTTATTAATTGTTAGATAGTACATTTCGAAAAGTTATCATGAGACTGAAACCAAAGTAATCATACAGCGCGAAGGTTTGTTTCCATCTATTAAACAGTAGTGAAAACCAACATCGAAATCTTTGCGCACATTTCAGTTGCTTAAAAATTTTTGAAACTCTGGCCGTAATCACGAGTATTAAAAATTATCTATGTCAGTGCATTTTGTTGTGACGAATAATTAAATTCTGAGGCTTTGCTGTTGTGTCTCATATCAAAAAAGAAGTATGTATGTTCTCCAATGACATCACTAGTTATGAACAGCTAAATATTAGTAAATAACAGCTTGAATAATCAATTGCTTTTCAGTCACTCGCTGCCGCGGTCTGAAAGTGACAGATTTTGACGGGTAAGTATGCCAACCACGACAACCAGATCTCCATTGGTCTGAAATAGACCGTTTTACTCAATAGTATTCTCGAAAACATTTTGTCCTCCTTCCAATAAATAATACACTCGCTTGACCGAGGCACAAACTGCGTTTCATTAACGGTTTCACTTCAGCCAATATTACCGAGGCTTTCTTACATGAAACATAATCAAAGCAATGGTATGTTTTCCCCTCGAATTACTTGACAGATTTTAAGATGTAAGTATACAATTTTTTCTTGTGTTTAATCTGCGTCGCTTCGCTGCGTTGTTCTTTTTCCAGAGCTTTGCACACGCCATGCATTCTCGTGAGTAAGAGCATCGCCTTTTCGGGTTTTTTTTTCATCTTCCACGTTCTCACCCCGTTCTTCGTCTTCAAATCATCACGATCGACCGTTTACCTCTTTCTCTCTCTGTTTATTTCTATAGAGATTGTGAGCAAGGCAATGCATTCTCGCTGAGTAAAATGGAAAAACTGAAGGAAAGAAGGGTAAATATTTCTAGTATTCTTATAGGTCTTTCACCCTACGAATAGTTTGCTATGGCTTAATAATTGTCTCGAATGAAGTGGAGTTAGTCTCCAACTCGCAAAACACGTGTCTTAATCAGCGATGTTACAAGGGCGTAGCAAGGGGGGTCCTGGGGTGCCCGTGCCCCCCCATCCCCTTTGTTAGCCTTTCTTTGTCACATTAAGTAAAACACAGGGTGGAGTACCCTCTGTGTGACACAGTATGCCCCCCCCTCCTTCTGAAAAAACCTGGCTACACCCCTGTGTTATGGACCAAAAATTTAGCCGCGCCATACTGTGGTGTGTATATGACTCCGTTGATGAAAGTTAATGCGATCTTGTGAAGTATTTCAAAGCCATTTTTTTTAAAGGCTGAATTGAAGGTAAACGGTATTAATTACCTAATTCCATTCCAGATTTCCAAACACTACGAGACTTCAATAGAAGATTTAGAAGGGCATCGTAATCATGGTCACTGCATGGAGGACGAAAGTGTCATAGACAATGGGAACCCTGTGACAGATCACCAACAGATCCCAGGAAGCATTGGGACGTGTGATCAGACTTACGAGAAACCAGACAGTCCTGGTTCAAAACAGGTTAGATGCAGCATAGAATCAAGTTATATCGACTAAAAAATCAATCACCGGAAAAAAAAGACTATCACTTAAACTGCGCGACTTATTGAGCTTCAATTATATATATATAAATGAATGTGGGGTTAGAGTCTACCTTGGCATAAAGTGCTCAATACTGTGGTAGCAGAGCTAAGTATACGTAAGTTAAAGAATGAAAGAGGACGCATCGATTCTATGTGACTCAGAGTTTCGCGCCTAAGCGCTCGTCAGACAGAACTTTTCATATATATATATGTATGTATGTATGTAGGCGTGTATGGGTGCATGTATGCGTGTATGTATATATGTATATATATATTTTAATTTTTAACCGAAAAAACTCAGACTTCGCTTCTCAAGGGATCCTGGACTTGAAGAAAAATAATTAGGCCCACCAATCTCGCCAACACGTCACATTAAGCTGAGAGTAAAGATGAATCAGCGCCCTCTTGAGCGAAGAGTTTCTTTTCTTTTTATTTTCCAGGACTCCATTGATCTGACGAAAGATGATGCAAAACCCTTTGAGAACTTCCAAATGGCGCTTAAATGAAGACAAAGGCCAATCCAGGCTCTTCGGATGATGATCTGATGCAGCAATGGAACGTGCTCTGGATGAAATTCCAGTATTCCTTGTCGACTTTTCTTAAACAGTACATTTTGCTTCAAGTCAGCACCAATCTTTTTATAATCAACATTAATTACAATTTAGTACAATTTACTAAACATAACGAGGAAATTTATTGGTTGTTTTTTGACGTAAAGAAAACAAATTAGTGGTAAATAGCTGTGAAACTGCCAAATTAGACGACTTTTTAGTTCTTGAACTTGAGCATTGTAACATACTCCTTCGTGGGCAATCTGATTAGCTTTCAGCCGTGTGATTCACTCAGGAATCACACTAGCTTTTTTTTCTTTTTTTCGTTGTGAATTAGATTGGAAAACTAGAAAGTTAAAAAAATCAAATTTGTAGGTTTTTCAAAGTTAAACATTAAAATTGTAGGGAAATTAACACCAGGACTTTAACATGGTCGTATTAAAGCTAGTGGCGATTGAACTTAGTGTTGTGCAAGTTTGGTATAAAATTGTACATGTGATTTCAAATCGAACTCGCGCTATTTGATGTTTTAATTCTATGTTATAAATGATATGTTGTACTATAGTTTTTAAGCAAAAGGTGCAATAAAAATTGTGTCTATCCACGATTATACACGCGTTTTAATTGTTTTTACAAATGATCTATTGGAGGACACACGCATAGGTGACGTCATCATTAGCAGCATTTTGACGTCATCTTTGATCTGTTACTTGACAGAAGACCTCATCTAAGATTTATGTTATTTATATGGGGAGAGATAAAGTTTCTTAGTTTATTTTGTTCAGGTTACGGATAAGTAACATTTGCATTTGAAAGTAAAAGGAATCAAAGTTCTGGAATGTGTTATTTTCTGTGAGAGTCGGTTCCATCTACTTAAAGGTTTTCCATCCCTTCATCAACATCCTTAAAATCTTTGCGCAGATTTTAGTTTGCTTACAAATTTATGAAACTATAGCTGTAATCAAAAGTATGCTAGTGTATTGTGTTGTAAATTTGCATATTTGTGACTTATTAAGCAGCCATGAATAATTAAATTTTGAGGCTTTACTGAAGTGTGTAATGTGAAATAACGATCGGAGTATGTTTGTTCTTGGCGTGTCTTGAGCGTATAAAAGCAATGATATACTCCTTTAAGTTTGCTGCTTTCTTGATCGCATTTGCACAGATATCATGTGTGTCGTCTTTTGTGCGAGAAGGACATCTTGATCTGGACGGTTACGTAAGTAATTCTTGTTCTTTACGTGAAAAACTTCTTTAGTAATAGAATTCTATGTTCTTCTGTATGATTTCCTTTCATCAACTTTTCTGAAATGATTCGACTGCACATGCAGTTCTTTCATCGTAATAGATTCCTTTTTGCAGAATTTTGCTTTCCTTGCAAGCTTCTGTGGCAACTACACCGGACCAGCTGTTCAGTATAATTTTTCATATCCCAAGGTAAACAAGTTAAGGCAAACATTATTATTCACTGAAACTCTGTTTATAGAAATTAATTTTCAGAGTTTAATTGAATTATTTACCGATTCCTAATACTGCGACGATATGGTTTTAGTTGAATCGATTACTTGATTTCATCCTCGAGGCCAGGAGGCGTGACAGGCAGTAAGTTAAAAAGTAAATTTTTGCTGTCCCATTCTATTAACGAATATCGTTGCCAATATGACCGTAGTTTTCGAGAGAGAAACTACTTTTTCCAATCAAAAGATGTTGGTAAGATTGCCTCGTTAGCGCAGTTGGCAGCGCGTCAGTCTCATAATCAAACAAGATTTTCTTTCTATCAAAGCCACGCTACCTCCCGTAAAATTGCTTAGATAGGGTACTTAAAAATGAATGCCCCGTGTGAGGATCGAACTCACGACCTTCAGGTATCTATTAAGATTATGAGACTGACGCGCTGCCTACATAATATTTAATATCTAATATTATAATATTCATTTTGGTCATTTTGCTAGCCAGGTAAGTAAAGAGGTTGTATTTTTTTCTATCAAAGTCACGCTGCCTCCCGTAAAGTTGCTTAGATTAGGTACTTAAAAATGAATGCCTCGTGTGAGGGTCGAACTCAGGACCTTCAGATATCTAATTAGACTATGAGACTGACGCGCTGCCTACTGCGCTAACGCGGCCGGTTGAATGAAGAGAATGGTATGTGGCTTCATGATTTGGTATTCACCTCAGATTTAAATGCATGATACTACCTACGACGATTAACTAACGGTTTTAATGTCCCCACGATATTATATCTTATTTACTTATCTATTAATTATTATTTCCACCATCACGAATGTACCTGTGGTGAATTGAAATAAGGCTCTCTTCTTCATCCAGCCGCATTTACAACAGATCGCATTGGGGATATGAACATAGGAAACGATGTAAGCCCGAAAATATCTTATGCGAGATTGATAGGTTTTAAGCATTGGAATTTACCGCCTTTGAAAATAACTGTTCTTACTTTTCACTTTTCATGGGCGTGTTAGACAAACATAATAAATGAGTCGAACTTCAATTCAGAAATCTAACAAAACTGACTAATTTCGCAGCTCACACATCGCTGCACGGTTGTGCGCTGAGAAGGGAGTAGAGAGATTCCATTCATGGGTCCTTTTTTTAAATCCATATCTAGACTGGGTACTAGTTGTTCCGATGAAAATCTAACGCAATATTTTCTAGGCGTCAAGTCCAGCCCGGTTAGCTCAGTCGGTAGAGCATCAGACTTTTAATCTGAGGGTCATGGGTTCAAGTCCCATATCGGGCAGAGCATCAACACTTTTTTTCTTGCTCAATCCTTGTTGTTGGCTCAGGGCATGATAGCGGCTGGGTTCCGTAGAGCGAAGAAGACCTAAGGTAGAACAGATGACGTTGTGGTAAAGAAATACCGTTGTCCCGAGGAAAATTCAAAAACAAACTTACAAGGCAAAACAGCACGGAAGAAGTCTCTCAAGCGATGCGTTTTGATTGGCTCTCTCTTTGGTTATCATCTTTTGTAGGACAGACGCATAGATGACGTCGCTATTAAAACTTTCTGCTTCATTATATTATTTTTTAGCAATGGAGAACTTTTTCCGTGTTTACATACTCTCATCTAAACACGAGGAGGGGTTGAGTTAAGCAAACCCGAATAAAGAGATTGACAGATGCTGTAGACAGCTTTTGAAACCGACCTCGGCAAAAATTTGACTATAAACAGATAGCACAGATGTTATTCCTTCTTACGCAGTTTCAAGAGCCATAGTCGAGCTTACTCTTCACTTCCGGGCGGAAGTAACCCCATTCTGTAGGGTCAATGGTTAAACATTTTAATTTGATTTAATAAGAAAAGTTTATGGTAAGAGATGTTGAGGTCAAAAATACTTTAATAGAGACTAAATTTAATAATAATAATTCTGGTCCTTGCTAGGCAGACAAGTAAAGAGGTTGTATTTTTTTCTATCAAAGCCACGCTGCCTCCCGTAAAAATTTTTAGAGTAGGTACTTAAAAATGAATGCCTCGTGTGAGGATCGAACTCACGACCTTCAGATATCTAATTAGATTATGAGACTGACGCGCTGCCTACTGCGCTAACGAGGCGGTTGAACGAAATGGTAAGCATGTGGCTTCATGATTTGGCATTTACCACGGATTAAACTGCATGATACTACCTACGATGATTGACTAACAGTTACAGTTCCCCCATGATATTATATCTTATTTACCTATCTATTTCCTTATCATTTCAACTTATCACGAATGTACCTGTGGTGAAATAAGACTCTCTTCTTCATCCACCAACATTTACAACAGATCGCATACGGGATATGAACATAGCAAACGATGTAAGCCGAAAAATCCCTTATGCGAGATTGATAGGTTTTAAGCATTGGAATTTACTGCCTTTGACAATTACTTGTTCTTACTTTTCACTTTTCACAGTCGTGTTAGACAAACATGATAAATGAGTCGATCCTCAATTCAGAAATCTGCCAAACTGACTAATTCCGCAGCTCACACATCGCTGCACGGTTGTGCAACGAGAAGGGAGTAGAAAGATTCCATTCAATAGCAGTTTTAGTACTAAAAGCTCTGTGCTCACCACCAAAAGTTTTTCATGGTCACTTTTTAAAATTCATATTAGACTGGGTACAGTCTTTCCGAGGAAAATCTAACGCTATTCTTGGGGTTAAGATCAGCCCGGTTAGCTCAGTCGGTAGAGCATCAGACTTTTAATCTGAGGGTCATGGGTTCAAGTCCCTTATCGGGCTTGGTGTGAGATCTTTGCTGGAGAGATCTAAAGAGCATGGTGTAAACATGCGACTTGTTCACACTACCCAAACTTCTGCCGTTTCATGAGAGCACGCGATCAACAGGAAGGTATCATGAGATTGCACGTTATGGTGGGCTTAAGTCTGAATTGAGGGTTAAGCCGTAAAAAAAACCGTAAATCGGTGATGGCCACATGACAATATCAAGAAAGGCAGAAAATATTCCAAAGATTTTTGAAGTTCGCTATAGTTCCATTTGATAGAGTGAGCTATCTAAAGTAACAAACTGAAATATACCATTACCAGTGTTATCGCCCGGTATAGGACTTGAACCCATGACTCTCAGATTAAAAGTCTGATGCTCTACCGACTGAGCTAGTCTGGCGACTCGTCTTTATTGTCATGTATTGCTCTCATTGAACGTAACTTCCTACCTAGACTATATTTTAAGAAGATGATGAGAGGGGCTAACAAGATTTTAATAGTATGTGACTAATTACTGGAATAGACATGTCAGTAAAGTGAGGAATAGAAAACGAGAACATGCAGTGATGTACGTGAGAAGGGATGGCGCAGTGACCGAGTGAGCTCTCTTCCCACCGCTGTGGCCAGGGTTCAATTTCTTCATCTGACATGTAATTTAAGTTTGTTGCATTTGTTGGTCTGAGGATTTTCTCCGAGTATTCCTTGCTCCGCTTTCCACCAAAACTTACACTTCAAATTCCATTTGAGGTTGACTGAGAAGCGAGTCAATTCAACAGAAAAACACATTAGTTCTTTTCTGCAGCTTAACATGATTCTTCAGACTTTATACATGCCGTGAGTGATAATGATGGAGAACTGAACGACTATATAACACCAAAATCAGACAGGAGATTATCACAACAAAGTCAAAAAACATTTTTAAAGGCTGCCCAGAAAAATTCTCAAAAAATGTCTAAGAAATAGCTGTTCTAGTTAAAAAACTACGGTTTGTTTTCTCGCCAGTTCAAATTCGAAGAGAGTAATTAAAAAATATGTACAGCAGTTTTTAAGCACTGCATTTTGCCTTTTTTTCCAAATGGTAAAGCTATCAAGGTGGAACCCTCTGTCAATTTCATTTTCTCTAGCCGTCTGGCTGATCGTCAAAACGGCACGAAATATGTAAAGTTGTGCTTATTTACATCGGAGTTTTCTCAGTTTCAACCAATGGGATCAAATTACAGTAAATCTACTCACAGCAATCAGATCAGAGAACAGATATAACAAGTTCGTGGTCAAGAGTCTCAAGAGCATCGCCTTCGTTCGTGCCACAAAGGCTCTGGAGTTTTGCACATTACCTCAGTGCAATTCTTTCACACACATCTTTTGAGTGACATAGAGGTCCAGAGAGAACACAATGCCATACATCGAGAAAAGAAGACATGGAATCGTCCGCGACACAAAAGATCTCCTATGTTCCTCTGGTTTCATCTTACAGCAGCCGCAGTAAACGTATTTTTACTCTAAAAGGTATTTCGTCGCAAAGGTTCCAAAATAATTCCAGACTTTTTCCCACCTGACGAGCTGACGAAGAAAACTATGAATGATGAAAAGTTCGATCCTTCTAAAGGCACAGACATAAGGAAATATTATTCTTGGGAGAACGAAGAAAAAGGCCGGTCTGAAGTGGAAAAAATCAAGGAATCTTGGATGATGTACTTTGGCCTTACCAAGGCATGATTCTACTCTAAGCTTTGACTGTAACTACGTGATGTTCTCTTTGAAATTAGATGTTCACATAAGCATTCAAATCTGATCGAGATTAACTTTTTTTTCTCAATGAGTCATTCAGTTTTAGGGGGTTAACAAATATGATTAGTCGACTAAGGGAAAGGATGAACCATTTTGAAGAAGAGGGAAATCAACGACCAGGATTATATGAATTCGATTCTCATCATCAAAATTAAGCAATCATTGGATTACGGCGTCAAAGAACTAGAAAATGGAACATCAAATGGTCTCGATATGAATTATGCGCTGTATGATTAAAACACTGAAAACGAGTTGAGGTACTTTTGTTTTCGAGGCAAGATATTTAGATCAATCAGTTAAGTTTTCGGTAATTTTAATGTTTTGTTGCACCATCGAGGCCAGGTTCGTTTGTAAGTCATTAAGTTCACTTAATCTCAAAGCAAGTCTTAGCGCAAGTTTCATAATTTATCACTGTGGATTATAAA